CAGTTCCTGGTCTCCAGATGGATAAGTTGTTGCTCCCTTATCTGAGTAGCATCGCAGGCAGGCTCATTGTGGCTTCTGACCTGGCTTTGTTCTGTGGTGCTGCAGCCTTGGGAAGCACTCTTCTCTGTTGGGTGTTCTTCTGCCTATAGCAGAGCGCTGCCCAGACGGTAGTGGTGGTCAGTGCCTCAGTATGTGGATGGAGATGACGTGGTAACACCCCTGAGGGACAGGATGACGTCCTGAGAGACCAAAGCAGAGGGAATGCTTCACTGCTTCTCCTTGGAACGGGCTGGGGGAGCTCCTTGGCCATTAATCCTGTGGGACTGTTGGCTCTCCAGGTCTGCCCTCGGGAGTCTGTTGTTTCTGGGAAATGGCGTAGTCGAGTGGTATTTCAAAGGGTTCGTTCTGATCCTTTTATCCATTGTCCTTTCTCCTTTTTGCATTTTCCACTTCTTGATTCCTCTGAATGAGTGAGCAGAGGGAGGAGGCAGGGCCCTGCCAGGCGTTGCCCTGCATTAGAAGGCAGCCTTTGGGGGTGGGTCCCATCCTGGCATCGTGCTCTGAAAGCTGCTGTTCCTGACCAATACTCTGTTATAACCCTTCATTCGCGTCCTGGGGCCTTGTCACAGCCTCACTGGTCATGCTGGCACCTTCACAGATACGAGTTGGCAGCCCGTGGCTGGGGTGGGTGCACTCTTTGCTGGATGGCAAACCAGCTGATGGCCGGGACCTGAGAGGTGGTGAACAGAGTGCTGTCCTGCTGACGAATGGCCACGAGCAGTGTTACGCAGGGGTCAGTACTGGGGGTGGCCCTGTTTGGTATCTTTATTGGCCATCTGGACGAAGGCGTTGAGTGCACCCTTAATAAGTTGGTGCGGGACACTGAGCTGGGATGAAGCACTGATCTGCCCGGTAAAGGAAGGCCCTACAGAGAGAGCTGGATGCACTGCATTGATTACTGGGCTGAAGAAAATGGGATGAAATCCAACAAAAACAAGTGCTGGGTCCTGCTCTTTGGTCACAACAGCCCCATGCATTGCTACAGGCATGAGATGGAGTGGTGGAAAGGTGTGCAAAGGAAAAGGATCTGAAGGTATTGGCTGATGCTCGGCTCACCGGGAGCCAGCAGTGTGCCAGGTGGCCAAGAAGGCTGATGGCATCCCAGCTTGTGCCAGGAACAGTGCAGCCAGCAGAGCAGGAGGTGCTCATCCCTCTGTACTCAGCTGTGGTGAGGCTGCACCTCAGTGCTGTGCTCAGAGCAAGACACCGGGGCCCTGCAGCGTGCAGAGAGGTTGGAGCGAGGTGTGCCCAGGCAACAGTGATAGAACAAGGGCTGATGGCCTGACTTTGTGCCCAGGGAGGTTCAGGTTGCATATTAGAAACAATCCCTTCTTGGAAAGAGTGGTGATGCAGTGGCACAGCTGCACAGGGAGGTGAGGGAGTCAGCGCCCCTGGAGGTGCTCCAGAACCGTGGAGATGTGGCACCTGGGGACGTGCTCAGTTGCCATGGCTTGGGGTTGAACTGGATGAACTTTGTGGTCCTTTCCAACCCTAATGATCGTGTGATTCTGTGACGTGTGCCTGGTGAAATTGCAGAGCACCCATCCCTGCTGCTGTTCAGAGCCTGCTCTCACAGCGGTGAGCAGCCCTCTGGGGCTGACCTCAAGAGATCCCTCCCAGCCTCAGCTGTTCTGTATTTCTGCTGGACCCGCTGCAGCAAAGCTGTATTTGGGGATCTGCGGCCCTTGCTTGCAGCCCTCACTGTGCCCTCATAGAATCCTATGTCTGTGGGGTCACAGCTCAGGGGATGGGAGCTCGTCACATTTACCCCGGGTTGTGGTGTGGCCACAGTCGCCCTGAGATCATGGAATCACAGAATGGCCTAGGATGAAAAGCCCCACAGCGCTCGCCTGATTCCAACCCCTGCTGTGTGCAGGTCGCCAACCAGCAGCCCAGGCTGCCCAGAGCCACATCCAGCCTGGCCTCCAATGCCTGCAGGGATGGGGCATCCACAGCCTCCTTGGGCAACCTGTTATAGTGCTCCACCACTGCTCTGTGGTTTTGTTTAATCTCAGTAGATTCACACAGCACTTAATTTGTCATGGTTTCTGCCCACTGTGCGAAACAAGGTCAGCAGTGATTAGAAAAAGGGATAATTACTGCCCTCCAAAGAGACGTTTGCTTGGGCTTTCACTCTTAGTCCCAGTGACGATTTTAAAATTAATTTGTTCTCTTTCTGCTGTCACAAATGGGTCTGCTGTGCAGCTGTGCTCCCTGGATGTGGTGGTTGGAGTTTGGAGTTCCCAGATCTCAGTGCAGAGCTGGGCGTTGCATCGTGCTGCATTTAGTGTGTGCAGTTCTGTCAGCTCTCCATTCTGTCCCAGTGTCATGGGTTGCTTCACACTGACTTCAGCCCTGGTAGTGATGAAAAAGGGTCTTCTGGGCAGTGTAGACATGAGGGGTCGCTTGTGTTCTGCTTCATTTTCTCTTCTTGCAGGTATAAAATCTCAGTTCTTGCACAGCAGCACTGCGCTCTGCTTGTGGTCTGGTGACCTCTGCCTGGTTTGAATTCTGGTCACATCAAAGTGTGTTGTTCAGGTCCAGCTTTGCTTACACTCAGGACATGGGATGTGACTGTTGTTGTGCTGTTTGCTGAATGGAAATTTGTGCACAGATCTGATGGCACTCCATCAGTATTCAGGATCACAGAATGGCGAGGGTTGGAAGGGACCTCAAGGATGATGAAGCTCCAACCCCCCTGTGCCATGCAGGGCCACCAACCTCCCCGTTTCACAGCAGCCCAGGCTGCCCAGGGCCCCATCCAACCTGGCCTCAAACACCTCCAGGGATGGACGGGGCATCACAGCCTCTCTGGGCAGCTGTTCCAGCACCTCACCGCTCTCACAGCACAGAACTTCCCTGACATCCAACCTCCATCTGCCCTCCCTCAGCTTCAAACCATTTCTCTTGTCCTGCAGTAGTGGGTCAGGAAGAAGTGATAGGTGTAAGAAGGGAGTGCACAGGATGGGATATTTTGCAATATTGCAAGCGGCTCCAAGAGGTGAAGTGGGAAGAACTGAAGGTGTCACGGTAGCACAGTGCTTGAGTTGGCCTGCAGTTGGTTCACAAGCATTTTCAGTAGTGTAGATGTGCTGGTACGAGGCGATACATAATTCCCACGTATCTTGCAATATAGCATGATTTCATTCCAGTAAATTCTATTGTATTTTATCCAGAAGTCTGCACAAGTGATGTGAGATGCTCACAGTTGGTACCAGAGGCACAGCAGCTGGGGCTGCGGGCTGTGGATGAGCTCTTCCCTTTGTTGCTCTCCAGCAGCACACTCTTCCCCAGCCCAACACAATGTCTTGCCTGGAATTTCCTTGCATTCTAAAATTAGGAGAAGGATTCAAGGAACAATGGCAAATCAAGCTCTGCATCTCCTGCTCTGCTTGGGGCTTTGTTGTCATGTAGACTTTCACCTACTTCCTTTCTTCTTAAACTGATTTTGCGTTAGATAAACTGAATTAAAGAGAGCTCGTGCTGCTTGACGTCAGAAGGGCTTTGCTTTTCTGCTGCAAAGCTTTTGGTCCGTGGCAGAGAAGGGTCTGCAGTCAGATGATGGACCTCATCGTGGTCCCTTCTGTGGGGAGAGCTGCTCTCCTCGTGGTCTGTGCATCTTTTTCCTGATACCTGGGGAGGGCCAGGTTGGGAATCAGGAAAAGGTTCTGCAGTGGATGTGGAGCAGCTGCTAAGGGCAGCAGGCACAGCGCTGAGCTGCCGGAGCTCAGGAGGTGTTGGGATGCTGCTCTCAGACCCGGGGTTTGCAGAGCTGCTGCGTGGGGCTGTGGGCTGGACCTGCTGGTCCTTATGGGTCCCTTCCAACGAGGGGCTTTCTGTGATTGTGTTTGTTGCTTCACAATCACCAGTTTGTTCCTTGTGCTTTGTTGGCATCGTCGGTTATTACCTGTAAAGGTTTGGTTGTCTGAACCCTCTGAACTGGTGGGGACGACCCAGAGCACTCTGTAGTGTGGCAGAAGGCAAACACCTACAGGCAAAAAGACTTCAGCACTATTGCAGATGTGTGGAATGGGCTCTGGATGTACCTGGGGGTTATAGGTGAGCTTTTTAAGCTGTCTGACTTTCTGCAGTGCCTTATGACTGTCTGTTATCCCAGCACAATCCAGGAAATGCAGCAAACACCACAGCTTGATTTCCATCCTGTCCCATACTCCATATCCAGCAGCAAGAGCAGCTGCAGGACTGTAGGAGCTGCTTATTGTGATGCTTGGTGGTAAAAATACGGAGAGCTGTTAATGTCTGGAAAGAGGGTGTCTGATTGGATCTTCCAATTTACCACCAAATAATTAATTTCCAAAGTCAGGGGCGTGAAGAAGTCAGGTACTGTTGGACTAGCAGACCTCTAAGGGTCACTCTGAGTCCATGAGTTTCTATGAGAAATGTTTGCTTTCCTCCTCCAGTTCTTGGTTCTTGGGTCCTGCAGGCAGTTTACTCTCTTTTCTTCCAGTCCATGTGGTACAAACCTTTCCCTGCAGGTTGGGAACATCTTTGATGTCCTGGCAAGACAAACTGCCATAAGCATCTGCTGTACAGTGAGGGTGGGAGTTTGGTTGGGATGTCCCTTTGTTGGCTTCTCTGAGCCATGAACATCACAGGTCTGCTGGCAGCTGCTGTGCTGTGACCTCTGCACTGTGCATCGCTTGAATGCCTGGGTGCTCTGTTTCACGGCGCATCTTACAAGGGAAGGAGAAGGGCAGTGATGTGATGGAGATGTTACATCAGTCATTAAGTTAACCTCACTAATTGCTGACTTTCGCCCTCGTCTCTGCAGGCTGTAATTGGGGCTCCCATCTGTGCAGCAGTGCACTTGGAAGCCTCACCAGGGCGCTGAGAGGAGACGATGGGAACTGGGGTTTGCCCTGAGGTGAGAATTGCTCACGGAGCTCCTCTGACCCGCTTCTGTTCTCTTTCTGCCCCAGCCTTTCTTTAGGCTTTTGAACCTCCGTAAGCTGGGCCTGAGTGACAATGAGATCCAGAGACTTCCCCCCGAGGTGGCCAACTTCATGCAGCTGGTGGAACTGGACATCTCCCGCAATGGTAAGGCCGGCTCCGTGCCCCTCGGCACCACATCTCTGCACTTCTGCTCTGAAAGAGGCGTTTCCCTTTCGCAGTGCTGCAGAGTGGTCCATCGTGGGGCTGGAGCTGTGAACATATCAACATTCACTTGTCTTGCTGTGTCTCAGGCTGTCACTGGTACCAGGTGTCCTGTTTGCTACACAATAGACTCCTTCCGGGCCTCTGTTTCTTTCACGTCTTTTGTTTCCCCCAGACATTCCAGAAATTCCGGAAAGCATCAAATTCTGCAAATCCTTGGAGATCGCGGACTTCAGTGGGAATCCCCTTTCCAGGTAGGAGGGTGCATTGCAGCCCCTTTGTGCAGCTGGGAATGAGAGCTGAAGTTCTCCATCCTTTTTCTGGTCTGCATCTTACAGTCGTCTTCCCTTTGCCGAGACCTTTGCTTGTCTGCTCCATGACACATGGGACATTTGGCATAGGGAAGAGCTGGTGCCAGTTCCTTCTTCTGCAGGGTCTGTGGCTTGGCTGCTGAGGTTTTGTTCATGTCGATGCCACTGCTGTGGGTGGCAGGGACTTCTGTCCTCCTAGCATAGGTTGGTTCCTCTCTTCCTCCTTCGCTGTGCTGCACAAAGCAGAGTGGGTGAGGACTGAGTGGATTGCAGAGGACTGGTAGGAAGGCTGCATGTTGTCATTCGTTATCTCTTGGACCTTTTTGCTCTTGGCTTTGTTTATAGCTTAGGATGAAATTGTTGGGTTGTTTTGGTATTACAGTGGCCAGAACTATGCCCAAGAGCAGCACTTTGCCTTCTCTACAGTATTCTGGCTCTACTTGCCTCTATTCTGGCTGTCTTGCGAAGTTCTGGCTTTTCTGCCTTGAGGAGCCACGCTTCCAGGCACTGATGCTGTGGCGTGTTGTCTGCTGTTGCCCCTGGAGATAAGTGCCAGTCTGTCTCCCCATGCCCACTGCTCTTCATACTGCTGGGCAGCTGCTTCCCGATTCACGTTTGAATAGATTTAACTCTGCTTCCCTCTGGTGGTGCCAAACACTGGCAGAAGGGCAGAAGCTTTTCAGTCGCTGGGGATCTCCAAGCACAGGTGTGACATGTAGTACCATGGGCACTTCAAACCCTGCAATGATTTGTCAGTTTCTGTGGCTCAGAGTTGTACAACATGTGTCGTTTGCTCCAGGAACAGCCTATGAACAGGAAAGGATTTCTGCTCTTTAGGGTCTTTCCTTCCTCTGTGATACCTCAAAACTGTTTTGGTAATGCTGCCTGATCCTGGGGAGTGCAGCAGTATCCATTGCTGAGTGTTTGGGTTGGTAGCTCACCCTCCCTCCTTTCAAGTTTTGGTGAATGACCTGGCACATTTTGGGGTTGGTGCTTAAATACTTCAGAGACGTGTTTGTCACTTGGACATGCAGCAACTTTGGTGCAAGGGAGTGATGGCATCTTGGAAACGGAGCACGGCCTGGGTCAGGGCTGGTTCCTGCTTCTCCCTTTCGCACCTGCTATACCAGTTGGGGTGGAACTGGCTGCCGGGAATGTGAGCAGAGAGCTCAGCACTGGGTTTGTGCTCAGCACTGATGGTGTTTTGTTCTGTTGTCTGTTCACAGGCTTCCTGAGGGTTTCACGCAGCTGCGCAGCCTGGGCCACTTGGCCCTGAACGATGTTTCCCTTCAGAGCCTCCCCAACGACATCGGGAAGTGAGTGTGGCTCTGCTCCTTAGCAAGGAGGGGAAGGTGGGAGTGGGGCACCGTGCTCACTTGTGCCCTGCAGCTACAGAGTGCTGCTCTCCTGGTCGTACTGCACCTCTGGGTATTCTCCTTGTTGGGAAAGGCAGCCTGTGAGAAGGTTCCTTTCCTTTCCAGCTGCTTATACTACCTACAGTCAATGGCAGAGGCAAGGAGTAAATCCTGGCCTCCCAAGTCCTCCCTCTCCCTTTATGCTTGCCCGTTTGCCCCTTTCCAAACAGATGTGCTCTGTCCTGTGATGATGAAATGATCCATGCGCTTGTGCAGGCCACTGGGGGCTGTCTCAAGGGAAGGGATATGAGTATCTTCTTGTAGTTCTGTCCTTCCAGTGAATCTGGCCTTCTCATTCCCTTTTCTCTTGCAGTCTGGCAAACCTGGTGACTTTGGAGCTACGGGAGAACTTGCTGAAGACTCTACCAACGTGAGTGTCACGTGGCTTCAGAGGTCTCCTGCCCCATCACTCCTCCTGATCCGTTGTGGACTTGTAGTAAAGAATCTGTCATTTTGCTTGGGAGAGCTGGAAGCTTTGGTTAGGTCAGCTGCATCTTGCTGCAAGCCTCTAAATTGCCGTGAGGAGGGAGAGAAATGGCACAGGGCTCTAGAGCAGGGGAAGGTACTGTGTCAGGTCTGATTTTTGAGCAGACAGGGTTCTGTGAGGATCCTTATTCCTCCTCAGGTAGAACAAAAGATGATTGTTTTGGAAAAAGAGGAGAAAAGTGTTCTGACGTGGGGGTTGGAAGAGCTCTGCTTTGAAGCCCCACACAAAGTGTCTGCTGCATCTCAGTCAGCTCTGTCAGCTTGTATTCTGCCTGCCTGTCCATCCAGCTAACTTCTGACTCCTGTATGTCAGAAGGGATTCCACCTGACTTTTTTTGAATAGCAGTGAGTTTTGTGGCCACACTCTGTCTTCAGTGGCTGTACTGTCACCCTTCCTTAGCATCCTTGCTGTTCGTGGCAAGTATTCAATCTGGCTGCCTGTGTTTTCTTCTACATTCTCCTATTTTGTTTTAAGAGGGCAAAAGAAGCTTCCAATGAGACAAGTACTGCGAGTATTTGGAGTTTCAGTCTGCTGCTTCTGTGACAGCTGTGCCTCCCCCTCTGCAGGACGCTGCTGTGACTCACGCATGCTCTTCCTGGTAGTTGTTTTCCTGTGAGATCTGCAGGCACAGGGTTTGTATGGCATCAGTTATATCTACCTGCAGAATCAGCTGAGGCCATTCAGACAGTCCTTTCCAAAACAGAGCTGATTCTGCACTGAGCAGCTCCCAGCCGTCGTGCCTGGTGAGCACACAGTGATAGAAGCTTAGTTCAAATTAACTCTGTCATCTCATCCTGATCCCAAAGTCCCAAAGACCTTCTGTGCACAGAAGCTGACGCTGAAGCCCTGCTGCAGGAAGGTCGTGTCCTCGTGATATCTCCAGCTGAGGTGAGCCTGTGTGGAATAGAGCCAGAACAGTGAAGGCGAGAGCTGAAGCTGGATGAGTTCAGATCTGGAGGTGATGCCCACTGCTGTCTTTGGATGAGTTCAGTGTTCCTGCAGGCAGAGGCTACCATGTGATAAACTGCATGAGAAAAGAGGTCCAGTAGCTGCATTCAGAATTGGGCTTCCAAGCTGCAATGAAGAATGATCCCAGTGGCTTTTCACTATCTAGGGACACCAGGAAGCGTGCAGATTTTGAGAATTCAGTCTGTGACAAAAACCCAAATGTTTTCTGGGAAATCTTGAGTGCCCCCGTGTTCCTTTGGTTCCCTGAGTTCCCTCGTAACACGCTCTGAGTTTGGGGATTTTTCTCTGAGCATTAAATACGGTCTGTGCGCTCACTCTGCAGCACAGTTCCATCTTCTTTGCATGTTCCACCATTGACAGGATCATGTCCAAAGCTAGAGTCCTAAAGGCCAAGGCAATTTGTGTCAGATCTATTTGTCAAATATGAGATCTGTACTTAGCTACAAACTGTGCCCAGGAATGACTTTAAACAAGTCCAGCACCCTTCTGGTTTTCATTGCTCTTCCAACTTGCAGCGACCTTAACTTGTCCAAGTGTGAATTCATGGGCTGGCCTTCGGTCCATGCTGTACAGCTATGGCTGCTCCTCATCTCTCCCACGTGGTGGGGACGTCCTGCCAGTCACTTGGAAGCATGGTTTGTGTTGGTGTGTTCTCATGGAATGGTGAGGGGGGATCTGTACTGATGCATCTCGTAGGACCTCACATCAGCTTGAATCCCATGGTTCACCCGGCCCTGTTTTGGAAACCAAACTGTGAAGGTGCTGAGGTAGAGTCAGGGCTGCTTCATACTTAGAGAGGTCAAAGAGCAAATGTACAGTTATAGCAGGCACTGGATGTGATGATCCTTATGGGTCCCTTCCAGCTTGGGTTGCTCTGTGATTCTGTAACGAGATGCTGTTATCCAGCAGAATCCTTCTGGCAGTGTAACTGATAAACCTTTGCTTGAGTTAATATCTCCAAATCCACTGCTGCAAAATGCAAGAACTTGCTCTTCCCATGTAGTGCCCTTATTTTACTGCCTGTGTCCAGCAGGCCAGACTTCTTACTGCCTCCAGTACCTCAGTGTGGGAGCTGCTGAGATGCAGAGCTGTGCTGACAGACTAATGCAGTGGCTTCCTTATGAGGACAGTCCCTTATAGAGGTAATAAAGAGGTCTGAAGTCTCTCACTGTGGAGCGTAGGCAGGGTTTAAATGGGATTTGTGCCTCGCTGTAAAGCAAGAGCCAGCAAGCCCTGTTTAAGGGAGTAGTTGTTGGAGCTGATGGGTAGGACTGAACTGAGAGCACCTGGGCCACGTCAGAAGAACTGAGTGCTGTTGTGGGGTTGCCTTCGATATCAGCAGTGTGTTTTGGGTGCAGTCTGTGCATTCTTTGGGCCGCTGCTGTTGACTGACTGTGGTTCCTTGCAGGCTTCTTGCAGCATCTTGCCTGGTGATCTCCTTGTCTGTGTGTCTCAGCCTCTGCTGAGGCAGCGTGGCCGTCCCATTGCGCAGTTCAGGGCCGCCCACTTTTTCATTCTTGCCTCTCCCTGCAGCTCTGCTTCCCTTGTCTCCTGGATACGTGTGGTCCTCTGCTGTTTCCCATGGTTTGTTGCTCTGTGATCCCCTCCTTGCGACAAAATGGGCAGCAGTGTTGAGGTGTGGCCCGTGGACTATCGTGTTTTTGCTCAGGTGATGCTTTGTGGTGGGAGGAGGAGAGGGCAGATGGGTGACAGTGGAAACTGCCTACTTCGGAGCTGCTGATGCTGCTGAATGCAGTTCCCTGTGCAGACTTTCTGATGGCAGGAAGGTGTCACTGTCCCTAAATTGGTTGGCCCAGAGCACGGAAGAGGTGGGATCAGTGCTCCGTCAGGTTTAGGAATTATTCAGAATGGTGTGATTTTTTGAGATGATGCTTAACCCTCTGTCCTTTCTTCCTTTCCCTCCTCTCATTTCTACTCCCCGTGTTTTGCAGTTCACTCTCATTCCTTGTCAAGTTAGAGCAGTTGGATCTTGGTGGCAATGACCTGGAAGTCCTGGTAGGTGAGGGGTGGTGGGAAGGAACATGGGTGGGAGGGGGCAGCACCTGTACCTTTGTGCATGTGAGTGGGCTTTTGTCTGAAGTGCACAGAAACGGACCCTCAGGCTGTATGGAAGGCTCTGCCCAATCATTGCTCCCAGCTTAATTTTCCTTTGCTACGTTGGCCCTTCCTCCTGTTCTCATGCACACCTCGTTCTGTTTTTTTCCAAGTCCTCCTGCTCTGAGATGTTCTCTCGTGCTATGCAGCTGCCAAAGGATTTTCCTTTCCAAGGAGGTTCTGTCTGATACTTCCTTTCACTTCTGTGCTGCGCTGTCATTCCTTTTCATTGCTGCTGGGCCAACTTTATCTTTCCCCTTTGTGTTTTAATTTCTCAGCCAGAAGGTGAAGGACCATCCCACATTACTCCTGGCAGCAGTGTCAGCCCAGTGTGCCCTCAGACAGGGGTGTCTCCATGGAGTGCTGAAAGCCTAAGCATGCTGGGAGCCAGCGCTCAGTCCTGAAACCCAGCTCTCCTTTCACTTTGGGGAAAACCCAGTGATATTTTTTCATTTTGCAGCTGCAGATTAAGTTGTTCTTGAATTCTGCCTTTAATGCCTGGAAGGCTTTTTGGCAGAAAGCCCCTCCAGATTGCTGTTTGCCTCTTGCCTTGCCCGCTGCTGGGAGGTCTTTGCTGGTGTGTCCCGTGTTTCTTGCTGGAGCTTTGCAGCCGGTATGGCAGCCCAGACGTTCCCAAACAGATTGCTGCGTGCTGACGCAAAGAGTTTGTACACCTTTGGATAAATGGTTTAGGAGATGTGAAAACAGCAAGAGTGCCAAGCTTTGCAGAGGCTTGGTGGGATTTGGAGGATCATAGAGCAACTTCTCCTCTTGGGAGGACTGACGCCATACTGTCACGCTGTGTTACAGCCGGATACCCTGGGAGCGCTGCCAAACCTGCGTGAGCTGTGGTTGGACCGCAACCAGCTCTCTGCTCTGCCTCCAGTGAGTACCTGTTCACTGCCTCACTGCTCCACTCCCTCCCTGTGCTGCTGCTTTGAGCCACAGGGTCTCCTTTCCCATCCTAGGAGCTGGGCAATCTCCGCCGTTTGGTCTGCCTGGATGTGTCGGAGAACAAGCTGGAACAGCTGCCCAACGAGGTCAGTGGGCTGGTAGCACTGACGGACCTGCTGCTGTCACAGAACCTGCTGGAGTGCATTCCAGATGGGATCGGTGAGTATTGGGATGGGAAGTGGGGCAGGGCTCCTCCTTTGGGGAGGCTTCAGGCACGGCTGTGCCCATCAGAGCGTTTGGGCCTGATGGATGCGGTCGCTGGGAGAGTGCAGAAGCAGTAGATGGTGCTGCTGAGCAGAACTGTGCAGGCTGTGTTCAGGTTCTTGTTGTAGAGTCACAGATCACATCTTGATCTGTGTTGTAGAATCACATCCTAGAATGGTTTAGGTTGAAGTAACCTCAGAGCTCATTAGTTCCCACCCTGTGCTGTGGGCTGGTTGTCCCCCACCAGGTCAGGCTGCCCAGGGCCCCATTCATGGCTTTGAGAAGCTCCAGGGATGGGGTACCTGCGCCTCTCTGGGCAGCAGTGCCAGGGTCTCATCACTTTTAGGTAAAGGATTTCTTCCTAACACTGGCCTAAACTTCCCTTCTTTTAGTTTAAAGCGATTTCTTCTCTTTCTATCACACTCTGCATGCGTAGAAAGTCAGTTTCCCTCCTGCTTATCAGGTCCCTTCAAGTTCTGGAAGGATGCATGGGTGAAATCTGTGGAAAAAGTCTGGTTGGGAGGAAGGGCCTATGTTCTTGGGTTAGGAAATCCCTCTTGGGAGGTATTTAGGGCAGATGATCATAGGACAGCGTAGCTCTCTGTGGCTTAGTTCACATTTGCCTGTTGCTCCGAGCAGGTCAGCTGAAGCAGCTCTCCATCCTCAAGGTGGACCAGAATCGGCTGACAGAGGTGACGGAGTCAATTGGGGACTGTGAAAACCTATCAGAACTCATCCTGACAGAGAACATGCTGACAGTAAGTATACCAGCAGCCATCCTGAGATAAATAGTGGGCATGGAACAGGCTGTGAACCTGAGGGAGAACCTGTCCTGAGGCTGTAGTGGGAATTGCTGGAATCTCATCTTGTTAGGACAGAAGGCAGTTCTTTTCCTTGTCAAGAAGGCTCTATACCCGTTCTGCTGTCCTTTATTAGCCACTGAATTGTGTCCCTCTTAGGCCTTACCCAAATCCCTTGGGAAGCTAACCAAGCTGACAAACCTGAACGTGGATCGGAACCGTTTGACGTCCCTTCCGGCTGAGATCGGGGGCTGTGCCAACCTGAACGTCCTGTCTCTGCGAGACAACCGCCTGGCCCTGCTGCCAGCAGAGCTCGCCAACACCACCGAGCTGCACGTCCTGGACGTGGCAGGAAACAGGTCAGCAGGAGGGTGAAAGGCTGCGGGTGTCCAAAGTGTCCGTGGGCACCTGTGGGCAAACAGTTGTTTGCAGTGCAGGCCTGCAGTTGATGCAGTAGTGTGGTTGTGGCAGAGCCACGTGCAGCGTGAATTGCTGCTTCTGTGCATACAGAAGTGGTGGACCTGCAGTCCCTCTGTCCTTATCTGATGCAGGCTGGAGCTGAGTGGAAGTGTCGTCGTTACCACTATGTTTAACCATCCTTCTTTCTCTTGCAGGCTCCAGAATTTGCCCTTTGCTTTGACAAATCTTAACCTGAAAGCCTTGTGGCTGGCAGAAAACCAATCCCAGCCTATGCTGAAATTCCAGACAGAGGATGATGAAAAGACGGGAGAAAAAGTTCTCACGTGCTACCTGCTTCCCCAGCAGCCCTCTCCTAGCCTAGGTAAGAGATTGTGGGGAAAAACTGAAGGGTCTGGGGGGAAAGGAGGCTGAGGGGAGACCTGATGGCTCTCTTCCAGTACCTGGAAGGGGATTGCAGCAGAGCGGGGCTGCTCTCTTCTCACTGGTGACGGAACGAGGGGAAATGGCCTCAAGTTGTGCCAGGGGAGGTTTAGCTTGGATCTCAGGAGGAACTTCTGTACAGGAAGGGCTGTTCAGCACTGCAATGGCTGCCCAGGGAGGCGGTTGGGTCCCCATCCCTGGATGTGTTTAACAGCCATTGGATGTGGTGCTCAGGGCCGCGATTTAGCAGAGGGCCGTAAGAGGTGGGGTGGGATGGCTGGGTTGGACTCAATGACCTTTAAGGTCTTTCCAACCTGAGCAATTCTATGATTCTGTGCTGTGAACGCTTCCAGCAGTGCTGTGTACATCAGTCCAGAAAGCGATGTAGAGGAGAGACCACAAACCTCTCTGCCTGGTTGCACCGTTCTTGGTTACTGCAGTGGCTGCAGCACGCTTTGACTCCTATGGGCTGATGCCAACTTTCCAAGGCAGAGGCTGCTAAAAGCATGAGAGTGCTGCAGCCTTGTCTGCAGATCATCTGCTGTATCTACTGACTGGGTAGTGCATTATCTGTGAGGTTTGCTTCCTATTGTAGTAGTGTAACTGTGTTAATGCTTCTGATCTGTGCCTTCGTCCGACCTTTTCCTCTAGTCCTTAAGATGTGAGCCTGAACCCTTCACTAGGGTTCTGTAGAAGCTGCCACATACAGAGGTGAGAAGATCTGGAGGTGCATCCGATGCATCAGAGCCCTCTGCTGTGGACTGATAGAAGTGTCCTGATAGGCTGAGAGCTGTCTTTCGTCCAAGCACGCAACCCTACGTGTTCAGAGAGTAGCTCCCACTCTGTTGTCTTTCTCCCCAGAGAACCTTCTGCAGAACAGCGTGGATGAGAGCTGGACGGATACGAACTTAAACAGAGTCAGTGTGATTCAGTTCCTGGATGACCCCAAAGGAGACGACGAGGATGAATCTGGAGCTGAGAGGCGGGTAAGGAGTTCCTGCAGGGTTGTAACCTTCCTCTGGAAGCGTGGGCACAGCGTTTTCGTTGCAGACAGACTCAAAAAGGATGGCAGATCATTTTCCTTTAGCTACAGACGCAAAGGGAAGGATAGAAGTTTCAGCTTACAGCAAATATTTATTGGTTTAAATCTCTTGCAGAATATTTTCTCTTTTTTTTTTTCTTTATCTTGTGAAGAGAGATGATCTTAATCTGGATCCTTCATATAAAACGTATTTGCACCTGTCCTTCCAGCACAGAGATGATTTTTCTGCTGCTGCTTGGAATGTCATCCCCCATTTCTTTCCTCTTCCCAGCTGTACAGTAATGGCAGAGAAATCAGGTCCTGCAGTGTGACGTTTGGGTCACATCCAGCCGGGGCTCCACTGGTCTGATAGAACATGTGGTTTGAACTGATCCACTTTTAGGGCTGCTCTCACTGTGAAATCCCATGCTCTGTGTTCTCCTTCGGTAGGGCTTGCAGCGCAGAGCAACCCCTCATCCCAGTGAACTGAAGGTGATGAAGAAGGTGATTGAAGTTCGGCGCAGTGAGGTCTGTGCTGCAAAACCTGGCACAGACCTGAATTCATCCAGCTCAGAAGTGAGTGCTGTTTGCTGAGAAATGGAGACTGCAGAGAACACGCAGCAACCTGGGGAATGGGGAGGCTGTGTTTGTAAGCTGGGCAGAAAAAAAACCTTTGAGAAGTGTGGGAACAGGGTGAGGACGGACTGCCTGCATTCCATGGGTTCGAACCCACCTTGGCTCAGCTGGGACCACTGAGATGGGGCAGGAGGCGTAGCCGGGACGCAGAGAAGGGCACAGGGGGAGGACTGTGTGCTACTTCTATCATAATGCAGGGAGAGGAAGTCACTGATTTTCTGAATGAAGACTGGACCAGAGTGCTGGGGGATGGTGCATTGCTGCACAGGTGTGATGCTGACTGTAGATGCCAGCGTCAGTGGTGACACAGGTGGAGCTGGGTGGAACGGCAGCCTGAAGAAAAAGCCAGCTCTGTTGGCAGTGGAACATATTCCATTTTGCAGCAGTCTCATTGCAATGCACCACTTCCTGCCTGGGCTTCCGTCTTGACTTTTACAATCTGTCATCTTCTCAGGAAAAGAGACTGAGTGCCACCTCCAACCGCAGCGAGGACTCCCATCTGTCCAACAGCACCGTCTCTGCTGACTGCAGGGCAGAGGAGCAGGGAGAGGAGAGGCAGAGGAGCCGGCCGAATGGGCAGGTGCTGGAGATGCAGGAGCTGGAGAAGGAGGCCAAGCCAAGAGCTGAAGAAGAGCATAAGGAAGCGGTTGTCCAGGAGGATGAAGATGTGGAAGTGGAATACAATGAGGTAGGAATCTGGGAAGTGCAGTGGGATCCAGGTAAGGACTGGAAGGATGGAGAGTTTCTGGGGAAACGGTGAATGGATGAACAGAGTGTGATTTGGGCATTGCTGAAGGCAAATAAAGGGCATGGCACGTGACTGCAGGTAGAGATTTGGGTGCCCTGGTGTAGCTGGGTTCATTGAGGACTAGGAAGGATACGTGGGAGCCAGACAGCAGCTGTGGGAATATCAGGGGTGCCGTTTTGGGTGCCCATGGAGCTGATAGATGTGTCCAGGTGAAGGTGCTGATATTGGGCGGGGGGGGAGCAGCAGTTAGAGGGAAGCTAAGATGTATTCCTGCATCTTCTGTGGTGTGAAAGCAGTGCGACCTGCTGGAGGGAACCTGCTTTGGCAGGGGGGTTGGACACAGTGATCCCTGGAGGTCCCTTCCAACCCCTACAATTCTGTGAAGTGCTGGCTCTGCCTGTGTTGGTGTTGGAGGGAGAGCAGATGTCTGGCTGTTATCTGAGGCTCACAGCCTTTCTGGGCCTTTGCCATTGCAGCCCACTGTACACTTTGCTGAGGACACACTGATAAGGAGTGAGGATGAAGATGAAGATGAAGAGCGGCCGTTCCCAGTGGAGAAACAGAGGCTCATCCGCAAGGATACGCCCCATTATAAGAAACACTTCAAGATAACTAAGCTGCCCAAACCAGAGGCAGTGGTAGCACTCCTGCAGGGGCTGAACACTGATGGAGTCCCCAAAGAAGAGGAGGAACTGGGCGGCTGCAACAACAGCGCGGAGCCTGAGGATGAGGAGGAAGCGTGGGATGAGGATGACAGGAAGAACGGATCTTTATCTGCTCAGCCATCAGTGAAGGTAAGGTCTTGTGGGAGGAGAGGACCGGAGGGTGCCAGAGCTCCCTTCTGCTCCAAGCTGCCAAGAGGGTTGATGTGGCCCCAGTGAAAAAACACTGCGGGCTCCAGCACTTCAGTAGAGATGCGCTGAGGGTGGGAGAGCCGAAGCTCATTCTGGGGCTTTTGCAGTCAGTTGTCTGAGCTGTGCCACGCTGTTGTGTCTGACTTCTGGTGCTGTGAGCACGCGCTGCCCGTTACGTGTGATGTTGCGATCTGTGCTGCAAGAACAGTTCTCTTATTGCTGACAGTTCCTCCGTTCCTTTCCGTGCCCTCACCTGCTCTTGTTGCACCTTGTTTGCAATAGGATGATGAGCTGTGTCTCTGGATGGACCAAACCTCAAGCTTGGGTTCAGGCTGCTTGCCATTGCCTTTACGCCACAGTTCTTCCTGTGCTGTGAGAGCAGGTTGCAGCATCTTCTCCTTAGTGCTCCCCTGTGCCTGCCCCAGCACGGGTGAGGTCTGATGAAGTGTGTGTGGCACTTGGGGGAGCTTCTGCTGTGGAGTTCCCCATTTACGTGGGACAGCAGTGGGCCTTTCTGGTCACGCTGGGGGCTGATGAGTTGAGAGGTGCTTGGCTCTGCTCAGATGAACCCCCACCATGGTTGTTTGGTTAGGGACACAGATTCTTGCTGGATGGAGCTGCTCGCAGTGACAGAGGGATTTACTTCTAGGGGACACTGTGTCAGATCAGAGCACTTCTTGCTGAAACTGATGATGGTTTTATGAGGTGTGCTTGGGAGGCAGAGGTTGGGATGCAGGTGGATCTCCATCACATTGTATGGCACCAGCAAGTCGTATGAGTGAGGTGTAGGTAAGATATGCTGGAGTAAAACCTGTTTTTGCTGTTACTGCGCGTGCACCAGGGTGTTGGGATCATTTCATCCCCATTCTGGAGTTCAGACTGCACAGGGAAGGCTCCTGTGCTCAGGTTTGGGCCTGTGCTTAGGAATGTTTCTCTCAGTGCATTCTGCCTTGCTGTCTGAGTGATGTTTGCTCCTTAGGGATGAGGTATGCAGCTTCCTTTACTGCCTCTGAAGTTCTTCAGAGTCAGAACTCACTGTGGCTGCTGCTGTCAAGAGTGTGTGAAGCTGAGTGCTGGAGTGCCCTGCATCCACACCTGCCACAGTGGGGAAATGCTCTGACCCAAAGGCTCATTTCAAGCTGGGACTCAAAGCTAAGGAAGCACTGAGCTGTTGGCAAAACCTCCATAGGCATTGAGGCCACAGGTTTGGTATCTGCCAGAAAAAGTCGTCTCTGTTACAAGCTCAGCCTTCTGTTGGGAATCACTCTTCTCATTTTCTTGGGCTGGACTGAATGCCCGCTCCAGATATGAGCTCTCCTCCTGATCTGATAGAGAAACAGTAACGTAGGGAAGCAGTGTCCCAGTGGAGTTTCGTGCAGTGAGGAAGGAGGTAGAGCAGGGCATGCAGGATGCAAGGTCCTTAAACCAGGACAGCATTCTTTCAGGGGACATTCCTGCATTTGGGATTTGGGAGCACGTTTCCCATGTTTGGGAGTGGGATCCCTGGGTGCTTTGTCCCACCAGCAGCGTCTCCCTTACGGGTGGGAGCAGCGCAGTTGGGTTTGGGACAGCCTGGTTCCGTGGGCTGCCAGGTGGCACCACGAGCCATTTCTCTTGGGTCGTTCCATCCTTCTCCTCCACCCTGCAGCTCTGTATGGGGGGTTGAAGGCAGCTAACGGTGCTCAGCTTTGAACTCGGTGGCCACAGCCTCGGCACCTCGGCACGGACAAAGTGAGGCCTTGAGGAGGCAGCCTGCAGCCGGCCGTGCTGACGTGCTGCACGCTGTGAGCGGGGGAGCTGCCCTGTCCCCATCCTCGCTGGGAGGTGGCTGTGAGGAGCAGTGTGAGCAGGGTCTGCTCGGCGGGCAGCCCTGGCAGAGCGGTGTGCATCTGTGTGTTGCGTTGTGTTGGGTGGTGGTGGTTGTGGTGGCGGGTTTGGTTGATGCTCCACTAATCCGCATGCCTCTTTGCTGGTTCCTGTCCTAACAGGGGGTGTCGTTTGATCAAGCCAATAATCTGCTGATTGAACCTGCTCGCATTGAGGAGGAAGAGGTCTGTACCACTCCCACTGTTCTCTCTCTGCCGAAAATCATTCCGTCTGCTTGATTTGCTTCCCAGGCTCACCCCTTGTTGTAGGGGAACTCTGATCTATTGGGGTCAAGTGGCTTCTGGACCTGACCGATCACCAACACCATGATTGTTTCTTCCTCTGCTTTCCTTCTCCCTGCTCCTTTCCCTCCCTTTCCGTCCCCGAGGTGAGAATGGCTGCTGCAGATCCAGACTGAGATGGGAGAAATGTGAAAAAACAGAGGGGTCACAGGTGGAAGGCTCAATTCCTATTTGCTGTGCACTGAGGGAGGTGGAAGAAATGGTGTACGTGCATTCAGGAGTCGATGGTAGCCCAGGCAGAGCAGAGGACTCCAGGATCTTCTGGGTGCAGTGGGATGAACCCTTTGGGGTCTGGCATAGAATGGATCTCAAGGCATTGTGCCATTGCATGAAGGAGGTGGACTCGAGTTAGTTAATGATGCTTGCATCTTTGGCAGCCCCTACGGACACCCCCCACCAGGTGTTCTCGTGCAGTGCTTTAGGACATCAGAAAGGTGTGGGTGGCACTGGAGGTGCTCTAAAGCCTCTGTCGTGTGCCGTGTTCTGCACCCTGGTTTAAATGCTGTTTTGCTGTCTTAGCTCATCCTCTGACCAGGATTATTTTCCTGATATTTTTTTTTTTATTTTTTATTTTAACACAAGTTTTCAGCGGGTTTGCTTAATCCCTTTTATCAGTGGTTCTCTGCAGGCAGTATTCGCAGAGAGCTGTTGGAGGCAGAATGCTGCTGCCCCTGGCAGGAGGCAGGAGGCAAGCAGTAGAAACTGCTTGCGTGGAGGATGCTTCCCTTGGAGACAGCACAGTGGCACCAGACCTGTGTCTTCAGTTCTAGAGCTGCTGGCCTGTCTGACCATGAATGTGCCTCTCTGCTCCTCCCATAGGTGTGCGATGGGGGTTCTTCCCTGGTTTTGGAAGAAGGCTTTGGAAGGGAGATGTCAGATACTTCATTTCTGCTTCGAGTGAAATGGGAGCTGCCTCTACCTGGTGCACTGTTTGTGTGTGCTAAAGGTTTTTTGTATCTCCTTAGCTGTAGGTCAACGAAAAACACATTTACATGTCTTGCAGTCACAGGTAAAGAGGCAGCAGCTCAGTGCAGGCGCTTCCTGGTCCTCCGTTTGGGAACTGCTCTCGTTCCTCGTTGAGCACTGCTAGACCTCAGGGTCCACATGTGGAGGTTACTGCATGTGCCATAGCCAGGAGCCCTCAGCCTCGTACCAGCAGGCACGCTGCCTGCCCTTCCTTCTGTCTCCTGCCTGTGCTCTGCGTGCATTTGATGGAACTGCCCAGGATTTCTTGGAGACCTCTGGGGAGGGCAGCTGATCAGAGGCCCCATGTTGCTCTGCTGTCCACGTAGTGCCATTCCTTCTTGGTGCAGATCTGCTGTGCAGTGCCACATAAAGTGTGAGGCGGTGCTGCAGCTCGCAAGGACAAAATACTGGAGATTCTCCAGGTGGGTGGGGGCTGAAGGTGCCCCACAGCAGATTAGCTTTGGGGAGCAGATGGTTGTAAGCTCGCAGCGCTGCGATCCCAATCCTTGTCTATTGTTATGCAACTCTTAAAAGAAAATACTGAGTTTTGATTATGGCTTAATACTGAACCCTAATACTGAGTCAAGATCTGACCTCATCAGAGCAGAGCTGGAGACATGAACCTGAATTCAGTCAGCACTGCACCGTCAGGGATAGGGAGCACTGCGCTGTGCATGCAGCTGGCACCTCAGAGCTCCTTTGACTGTTAGGGCCAACGAGACTCTGCTACAGAGGAAAACATAATTTTGTAGAAGCACAGGAGTGTCTGATGCTTGGGTTCCACTGCTGCCTCAATTCCCAGTGTTTTGGTTCAGTCTGCAGCACAGATGGCAGAGGCCTTTTCTGAATCGTAGAGAGGCTGCTGGAGGTGTGAAGTAGTGTGTCAAACTGCTCTTTGAAGGCATGAGGTTGCAGCTGAATTTTGTTTGATTTCAGAGAACTTTCTAAGAAATAGTCTCAAAAGAGCTGCTGTGAGAATGGAAGATTTCAGTGCAAGGGGAGTCCGGAGTTCTGCTTGGTGCTGCACTGTCTGCAGGAATAGCAGTGTTCTCCCTTGTGTTTGTCTGCTCCCTCCCCAGCTTTTCTGTACGCTCCTTCAGGTACTGGAAGGCTGCTAGAAAATCCCTCTGGAGCTTTCTTTTCTCCAGGCTGTCGAGCCCCAGCTCCCTCAGCCTGTCCCCATATGGGAGGTGCTTCAGCCCTATCATCACCTTTTGGCCCTTCTCTGGACCTACTCCAGCAGCTCCGTGTCCTTCCTGTGTTGGAAGGGTCCTAGGAGAAAGCTGGGCTGATCGTAGAGGTTTAGAGGCCTTTGGTGGAAGGTGGAAAAGATCCTGTCAGCTTCTTCTGCTCTTATGTCACTCTGGAGCCAGGAGCAAGTCAGGTCATCTCCTTGGAGCAGCCTTACCCTATGGGAACTGCTCAGGACAGCCCTCCTCTCCTGATACTGCTGCAGTGCTGCCTTTGCTACTTGGACCTCTGTGTTGTAGCCTATTGTTTGCTTGTACCTGTCAGGACACCATCATGCTTTAAGTTCTTATGTAGAAAATTCAATTCTCCCACCACGTGAACTGCAAGTTCTGAACCCTGGAAAAAATGGAAACTGTTTTTTCACTCACCAGGGACTTCACCTGATTGCCACGAGTTTTGAAATGTTGTAGAGAATGGCTTGGTAACCACGTTAGCTAATTCCCATAGGACTCTGGATCACCAGGACCCATAGACTTGTGGATGCTCAGGTTCCTCAGGTGGTCACAAAGCTGATCCTTGCTTACAGAGGGAGGGACGCTGCTTCCCCAGTCTCTTCCTACCAAACCAAATGTTGGAGGGCTGCATGGGGAGCAGTTATCAGGGAAGGCAGAGGCTAAAATTTGTGAAGTATCTCAGCCTTCTCCTTGTCTGCTGTTACCAGCCTGTCTGTGTCACTCACAGGGGGAGTATTCCCTCCTGGACTTTCCTTTTCTGGATTTCTAATAAAGAACAAAAACAACACAGCAAAGCCAAAAAGCAGTAGAACCATCTGATTTTCCTTTCTGAAACAGTAAAACAGAATGTATTTAACTGATAAAAGTCTCACTGTTTAGGCCCAGCAAAGCAACAAATGTCAGTGACCTCTGTAGAAATAAGTAGCGCGTTTGCACGTCTTTAAACATTGGTTCATATTTGCAAGCTGAACAGCATTTTCTGACTGTGTCAGTATCAGAAAAAGACAACTTGTAGTGTAGCTTTAGACCTTGTGATGGAGAATGTAATCTCTGCATGTGATCCAGGAACCCAAATGAAGCAGAACTGTGATGGGTTGGCACTTCTGGAAAATAGACTTCATCCCCAAAAAACCCTCTGCGTTCAATTCAGGAGCAATTAGCTAAATTTAAGGATGAGGCGTGCAGGGTTTCTTCCAGTCCAGTCTCCTGCAATCACACCACAGTCGCAGGTTGAGGATGGCAGGGACCTCAGGGTCCTTCAGGCCCAAGGTGTGCTGTGGCAGGGATACCCAGGTGCTGGGCACCACATCCATGCAGCTCCCTCAGCTTCGCTGCCAAGCAGAGCTACTTCAGGCCCTTCATCTTCTTTGCAGCCCTCTGTTGGACTCTCCCAGCCGTTTCCAGGTCTTTGTTATTCCTGGGAGCCCACGCTGATCCCAGCACTGCTGAATGGAAGGGCAGGATCACGTCCTGCTGTACCATCGGCCTCCCTGGCAGTGGGATCTCAGCGCTGCCTCACATCATGACTGGGACCTACCAGGATCCCATGTCCTTTTCCAACCGGGTCCCCCAGGCACATCCTTCTGTTCCTCCTTGTTGGATCCCATCATTTTCTTTCAGCCCATTTCTCAGCCTGTCCAGAGCCCCAGGATGGCAGCAGGACACTGATGTACCCCTGCTCCCCCATGCTGTTGGCTGTAAACTTGCTGAGGGTGAACTCTGCCCCATCTTTCAGATCAGTAACCGTATGCTGTACCCTCTTTCATCAACTTTTTATTAAATGCCAGTCATTTCCTCCTGCTCAGGTTTCGCCTCTGAAAAGCTTCTCCAGATTTCTTATTCTGGTATGATTAGAAAGCTTCGTTTCCCTCTAAACTTGGGTTTGTTTATTCATTGTTTTAATTAAATTTTATCCTGTAAAGCGTATTTTCTGCTTCCTGACCCTTTGTCCTTTTGGTATTTTTGTGGCCATCAGTCACAACTCCAGCTTTCGGTCCGTGAGCTTGATGAAACCAGGTTCTGCTTTAAGATCAGTTCTCCCTTCGATGTCTTTCTCACTGCCCTTTCCTGCACCTGTTCTTCTCTAACTTTGTTGGCTGTGGATGATACGGCATTGTGATCCGACTTCAGTACACCATATTCCATAGTTCTTCTTCCATTTCCCATCCATGAACCAAAGCTCTCTGCAGCCACCTCACTTCTGTTCCTGCATTCAGCATTGGGTCCTCAGGGAGTTTTGATCTTTGCGCCGCTCCTGTACTTCACAGTGAGTGAAGCAGTAGTTTTCATAGCATCACAGCATGGCCCAGGTTGGAAGGGACCCCAAGGATGATGAAGCTCCAACCCACCCCCACAGCAGGGCCACCAACCTCCGCGTTTCACAGCAGCCCAGGCTGCCCAGGGCCCCATCCAACCTGGCCTTGAACACCTCCAGGGATGGACGGGGCATCACAGCCTCTCTGGGCAGCTGTTGCAGCCCCTCATCGCTCTCACAGCACAGAACTTCCCCTGACATCCAACCTCCATCTGCCCTCCCTCAGCTTCAAACCATTTCCTCTTGTCATGCTACTGTCTGTCCTTTCAAAGAGTCGAATCCCCTTTTCCATCTGTCCCCACGTGCTGTCTGTCCTCAGCAGCACGTAATGGAAATGCAGCACAGTTCTTGGTGTGAGGCAACCGGTGGAACACATGGTGGACGAGTCTCAAAAATTT